CCTCTTGCCCATCCTCAAAGAGGTCATCGAGATCCTCTTCCAGGAGGGTCTCCTCAAGGTCCTCTTCGCGACCGAGACGTTCTCGATCGGGCTCAACATGCCCGCCAAGACGGTCGTCTTCACGTCGGTGCGCAAGTTTGACGGGCGCGACTTCCGCAACCTGTCCGGCGGCGAGTACATCCAGATGTCTGGGCGCGCAGGACGTCGCGGCCTCGATGACCGCGGCATCGTCATCATGATGACGGACGAGAAGTTGGAACCGGCGGCGGCCAAGGGCATGGTCAAGGGGCAGGCCGACCGCCTCGACTCTGCGTTCCACCTCGGGTACAACATGATCCTCAACCTCATGCGGGTCGAAGGGTTGACGCCCGAGTACATGCTCGAGCGGTCGTTCTACCAGTTCCAGAACACGGCGAGCGTGCCCAAGCTCGAGGACGAGTTGCGGCAGCTCGACGAGCAGCGCGCCGCCATCGTCATCCCCGACGAGGACAACATCGCAGACTACTACGACCTGCGCCAGCAGCTCGACATCCTCAACCGCGACCTGCGCGACGTGCTCAACCACCCGACGTACGCTCTCCCCTTCCTCCAGCCAGGGCGCCTCGTCCGCGTCAAGCACGACGACCTCGACTTTGGCTGGGGCGTCGTCGTCAACTACCAGAAACGCCTCGGCGCAAAGGGCAAGCCCCTCGCAGCCGACGAGCCCCCCCAGAACCAGTACATCGTCGACGTCCTCCTCCACGTCGCCAAGGGGACCGCCCCGGCCCCCGCGTCCGTCACGGGCAAGAACAAGCACGCCTCGCCCGCCAACGCCATGACGACGCTCCGGCCGTGTCCCCCCGGTGGCGGGGACGACGGCGAGTTTGCCGTTGTCCCCGTCCTCCTCTCGACGCTGGACGGCATCTCGCACATCCGCATCTTCCTCGCCAAGGATCTCAAGCCGCTCGACGCGAGGATGCAGGCGCTCAAGAGCGTCAAGGAGGTCAAGAGGAGGTTCCCGAGCGGGATCGCTTTGCTCGACCCGGTCGAGAACATGGGCATCGTCGACGAGGCGTTTAAAAAGCTCCTCAGGGTGCGTTTCCCTTTCCTCTGTGTGTGATAGAAGGACGGTGTCATCGAGCCCAGCGCTGACTCGCTCTCCCACGCCCCGTACTCAGCGCATCGAGATCCTCGAGTCGCGCCTCGTCTCGAACCCTCTGCACTCGGACCCGGCCCTCCCCTCCCTCTACGACCAGTACGCGGCCAAGGAGTCCCTCAAGCTCAAGATCCGCGCGACCAAGAAAAAGATCACGCAGGCCCAGTCGGTCATGCACCTCGACGAGCTCAAGAACCGCAAGCGCGCCCTGCGCCGGCTCGGGTTCGCGACGGGCGAGGACGTCGTCGAGCAGAAGGGGCGCGTCGCGTGCGAGATCTCGAGTGGAGACGAGCTGCTCCTCACCGAGATGGTCTTTGGGGGCGTCTTCAACGACTTGACGGCGCAGCAGTGCGCGGCGCTGCTCAGCTGCTTCGTCTTTGACGAAAAGGTGCGACGCGTCTCTCCTCTTGCTCTCTCGTTCTGGTCTCCCTGCTATCACTCGTCCGCGAATGGACAAGCGCTGACCCCTTTCACCCCTCGGAACCGCGCGCGCGCAGAGCGAGCAGACGTCGAAGCTCAAGGAGGAGCTCGCCGGCCCGCTGCGCGTCATGCAAGAGGCGGCCCGAAGGATCGCAAAGATTGCCATCGAGAGCAAGATGCCCGTCGTCGAGGGTGCGTCGCTCTTCTTCCCCCTTGGCGCGCCACGAGCGGGACCCAGCAGGACTGACTCTTCGCCGTTGCGCGCGCACCCCCTTTCCCTTCGCAGACGAGTACGTCGCGTCGTTCAAGCCCGAGCTGATGGACGCCGTCTACTCGTGGTGCAACGGCGCCAAGTTCTCCGACATCTGCAAGGTGCGCTCCTGCTTTTGCCGTCGGAGACCTCGCGCTGCCTTCCCAATGCTGAGTCGCCCTCTCTCGCTTCGACGCAGATGACCGACGTCTTTGAGGGCTCCCTCATCCGTGTCTTCCGCCGCCTGCAAGAGCTGATCAGGCAGATGTCGATGGGTGCGTTGCCTTCGCCGCACTCGTCATTGTCTCCCGCTGGTCGTCCAACCTCTGCTGACCCTCGACTCGCACTCGCCCCTTCGCTCGCAGCGGCCAAGGCTATCGGGTCCGAGGAGCTCGAGGAGAAGTTCAACGCTGCGCTCGCGTGCCTCGAACGCCCCAGCTCGGTGGCGTTCGCTGCGTCCCTGGTGCGTCGTCCCTCTCGCTCGCCCTTCGTCTCGTCGTGCTTCGGACGCTGACCTCGCTCGATCCCCCCTCTGTCGCACGCAGTACCTGTGATCATCCCCTTGCTCTCGCTCGCTCGCTTGGCAGTCTGTCCTCGTCCACGCTCTGTTGCATGCAGTTGTACCTCGTTTCGCCCCGCGTGTCTGGCCCTCTCGGCCGGCTGTCGTTGGTTCGCTGGCAGAGAGTGGGAGGCGAGGTGAGTGTGTGCACGGGGTTGGCACATTGCTGCGGTCTCGAGCAGTTGGAGGGCGAGCGTCCTGCGCGGCTCGCCGCGAGCGGGTCGTGCGGCGTCCGTCTCTCTTGCTCCTTCGCTTGACTCGGTCCCGCGTTGGACTTCGGCCAGAGCCCACTCACTACACTGCAAGATGCCCTCCAGACTACCCACGATGCAGCCACTCGACGCGCGCGCACCCTGCACCCCTCGCTCGCCCCTCCCGCCTCGCCGCCTCCCGGATGAGCTCGTCCTCATGGTCATCGAGTCCTGCAACGGCCTCAAAGGACGCAGGGCGCCGATCCTGGCAGCACTCTGTCGGGTCGCCAAGCGGTTTAAGGCGGCGGCCGAGCGAGCCCTCTACTCGAGCGTCGCGCTCGAGACGGACGCAGACGGCCAGATCGACGACCGCACGCCTGTGGGCGCCATCCTGCAGCGTCCGCATCTCCGTCCCTATGTCAAGGGAGTTACCTATTGGCAGGGCAATGCGGACTGGCGTAACGAGGCCCTGTACGACCTCGTGGGCGCACTCCCCAACGTCGACGAGTTCGCGGGCGCCATGTCGCGCGACCCGCTCACTCTCGGGCTCTGGGAGCAGCCAGAGGTCCGCATGAAGGTCCTCCAGATGCAGAACTGGGACGACGGCGTCACGGACATCTGCGCGCGAATCCTCACGCGTTCTCGACGCTCAGTCGCCTTTGGATCGTCCGCTTTGGCGAGGACGACGACGACGAGCCGAGCGCGTTACCGCCGTCGGTCACCGGCGTCGAGGACTTCAGGATCGACTACAATGCAGACTGGTCTACGCTCACGAAGTTCACGGCGCCCTTCCGCACCAGCCTGCGCCGCCTGTCCCTCGGCATGGAATCCGCCTTGGAAGACTGCAACTTTGCCGTGTACTCTCGCCTCGAGCACCTCGAGCTCCGCGTCAAGTACATAAGTACCACAGATCTCGCCGCCTGGATCTCGGATCTCGTCGCCGCCGTGCGGTCAGCCGCCTCGCTGCCATCCTTCACCTCGTTCGCCATTCAAGGCGTCCTGATGTTCGCCGATTTGGGCAGGAGCTACGAGTCCCCGGACTCGGCAGCAAGACAACGCCTCTCCCTCTCCATCGCGCGGCGCCGGGTCCTCGAGGCGACCACCGACGTCCTCGACGCCCTCCCCTCGCGGCTCGAGCACCTCTCGCTCGTCACCGACTGCATCCATGCGGGAGACCCCGCGGCGTGGCTCCTGGGCGCGAGCCACCCGTCAGCGCTCAGGACGCTTCGCATCGGCGGCGCGGTCGGCTACGGCCTGGGCGGGATCCTCCGCGACGACGCGGCGAAGGGGCCGTACGGCGCGCTTGCGGGCACGCTGGAGCGCGCCGGGGTCGGGGTGACGACGGTGGAGTAGGTGGGGAGTGGAGCGGTCGGGCAGTCTGGGCGGGGAAGACAAGAAAGGGGGCGTGTCGACGACGGTGAGGGCGGGCGAGGGCCGGGCTGGTGGCTTGAGCGGAGGCGGGGTCAGTCCAAGCGAAGTACCGTTCGGTGGTGTGCAAAGTCATCAAGCTCGCTTCATTGAGCGTCGAGCAGTCGTCGAGCAGAGCGCCTCTGCTGCACATCGCACGCTCGAAAGCGGAGTTGCGGAGGTCAGCCGAAGCCTAACCACCCGCGGCCCTCGCTCGCCTGTTCAGTCTGAATGCAACGGAGCCCCGCTTTCGAGGCGCACATATCGAACCTCTTTCGCGGGAGAACCTCCAACGATCAGCCGAAGCGAGTGTCGCTCGCCTTTGGCCTCCCTGCTTTGCCTTTTCATCCTCCCTGGCGCGTGCCAGGCAACGATGCGACTCTGTCTGAGCTGACGTGGAAGGTGTCCGAGAGCCAGACGAGTGCAGTCATGAAGCTCATGGCTGTCCGGGATGAGGGGCAGGGGTCGAGGTGAGGAGCGAGTTGAAGCCGCCGGGGCCGCCTCCCTCAAGTCGGCTGGCCGACCTCTCCCTTCAGCCTGTCTCTTGGACGCCGGCCACAGGTCGAGGCCAAAGGTGATGAGGTAGACGCCGCACAGGACCGCGATCAGCCACTCGAGACACGCGGCAGCAGACTTGACGCGGTTGCGATTGGCGCTCAGGCCTCGTCCGGTCCCACACTCCAGCGACTCTGTGCCCCAGTGCACGCACGCGACAGCTTGCAGGCCCGTTACTGTGAGCCTGCTGTAGGCACTTGACAGTGTAGAGCAGAAGCGACTGTTCCAAAGCCGCTCGCAGCGCTGGGGTGACAGAGACCGCGTCTTCTCCTCACCCGCATGGGCTGCAGCTGGCAGCCGCGTCAAGAAGGGTCGTGGTCGACGAGCACGGAGCGAGGCAAGCTCGTACGGAGAGAGGGGAAGAGTTCCGGAGTCGGCGCCAGGGAGGGCGGGCAGGTAGGAGGCGTGTGACCCGCGACCAGCCGTGACCATTTGGTAAACGCGGGTGTGTACGTAAACTGCTCCTGGGCGCACAAGCACCTCGGCGAGGTAGTATAATGGCTAGTACACTCGGTTCTGATTGCCAACCACTTCCGAGCAATCTGGGTTCGATCCCCAGTCACGCCTCGTCCTTTTGCCGCCGCTCGCAACGTCGACACCGTTGCTTCCGAGCGTGCGCTCGCTCCCCCTTTTTCGCTCGCGCAGATCCTGGCCCTCTGACCCCTTCCAGCCGGCGCCACTAGCACTCTCTTGTCCCCCCTCATCCGTCGGAGCAAGTGAACGCACTTACACAACAACAGGACCGCGGCTAGGGACACGAAGGGCACAACAGCTCCAAAAAACGAGCACCCACCTACCCCAGCGCCACCCGCTCAAGCAGCTCAACCAGCAGGTCGCGCTCCTCGTCCGCGTCGACAGGAGGGAGCGGCGGCAGCGTGTCGAGCGGCGGGAGAGGCGTGCGGCGACCCTGGAGCGGGACACGGAGCTTGGGGGGCGAAAGAAGGGGAGGAGCCTGCGCGCGTGATGTTGTCAGTCTTTCCCTGCGTAACAGAGCCAGCAGAAGAGCGAGACGCACTTGAGCGGGAGACGATGCGCCTGCTTGAAGGACGTGCTTGATTGGCGAAGGCGGTCGTCGACGCGCACGTCCCGGTGTCGGCGGCGGCGTAGCCTGGGCCAGGAAGAGAGCGAGCTGATCAGGATCAAGACAAGGAGGCACCGAGAGAGGGCAGACGCACCTTGACGCTGGCCTGAAGCTTCTCAAGAAAGGTCTGCGACGCGGAGTCGCCCTTGGTCGGCGTCTCGGGCTGCGGCGGACGACGAGTCAGCTCGAGCTGCACAGTCGGCAGCACAAGAAAAGAGAGAGAGAGAGAGACGCACCTGCGGCCGCAGCCCCTCCTGGAGCCTGCCCCACTCCTCCTCCGTCACGGCATCGAGCCACCTGGGCAGGAGGACAAACAGGTGGTGCTCGACGAATGCCTGCACCGTGCGCACTGCGAGCGGACGTTCGTCGTATGCTGGCGAGAGAGGGTCGCGCGAGATGAAGAAGGAGAGCTTGTGCGAGGGGACGAGGAGCGGGATGGCCGAGAGGAGGCGCGCGAGGGAGAGGTGGTCTGTGCGGGGAGGGCGACGGGTCAGGGTCGAGCAGGTGCGAAAAGAGAGAGAGAGTCGAGAGAGGGCGCACAGAATCCTGCTTGGACTTTCCAGTTGGTGTAGATCTGGCCAGCGAGGAGGGTCAGAGCGAGTCCGCCTGGAAGCGACGCGCAGGACGCACAAAGTCGTTCGCCTTGCCCGACCACTTGACCTCGACGACCTCCCACGAGACGAGCCTCTCTCCCTCCTCGCCCGCGCCTCTGCGCTTGACCTCTTCAAAGCGGATCAAGTCGGGCCTGAAGACACCCCACCTGACCCCGGGCGCCGCCCACCCCCTCTCGCGGTACTCGCCCGTCCAGTCAACGCTGTCGACCAGGCCCGGCGCGACAAAGACGGGTCTGCCCGTCGCGAGGGTCTGGCGCATGGCTCTGCGGGCGACGGACGCGAGGGACGAGAGGTCCCGGTGCGGGAGGAGCTGCCGTCTGAGGGAGAGGGCGCGCTTGATGGTGCGTTCGGCGAGGACGCCGCGGGACATGGCATCCGGCGGGACGAGGTGCTGCCGCGCCTCGGCGGGCAAGACGACGGCGTCGTCGTTGTTGTCGTCGTGATCGGACGACGACGAGGTCGTGACCACCGAGGGCGCGAGAGAGCTGCTCCGCCTCGACGAGGGCGACGCGTTGCCGTCCGAGTAGGTCTCGCACTCGTCGTCTGCGAGGAGTTGGAGGGGCCTGACGCGGGCAAGCAAGCCCATGAGCCAGTCCTCGCGGAACGAGGCGATGCGGTCGTCGCGCGAGAGCTGAGTCCCCCGGCGGTGGTCGACCTCCCACGAGCTGTTGAGGTCGGACAGGAGCGAGACAAACGCCGAGATGGTGAGTGCGTGAGAGCACTGGAAGGCGTGGCGGGCGCGGATGGCGACGAGGCCAGAGGTGGGTTGCGACGAAGCGGCGCCTTTGTGGCGGTGCGCTGCTCGAGTCGAGGGGGCCGTGCTGGACGGCATGGGGTTGGGATTTGACGGCGGTAGAGCGTGTCTCCCGGGTAGACTAGCTCATGTGAATATAGGGCCTAAGGCATGCGCGGTGTGGAAGGCGGCATCCGGCGAGGGTCGACCCAGTGTCGAGGCGCGACGCAACGCGACCAACAAGGCGCCGACAGGACCCGCTCGCTCGCTCGCTCCCGTCCACGCCCTCCACTTGACGCCGAGTGCCCCAGATGACCGACAGCGCACCACCGAGTACACCCTCGAGCGCCCGCCCTCACGCCCCCGCACCCGGCAGCGCGCGGCACCTCAAGCGCCTCTCGCTCTCGTCATCCTCCTGGTCGCAGTCTGCCAACGGCCACTCTCCCCTCTCGGCCACGGCCGCACAAAGCCCCTCGAGCTCGCGCACCACCCCGACCAGTGCCCACAAGGCCGACCACGTGGGCGTGCGCACACTCCGCACCTCCGTCAACGGGTCGCTCCCTCCCTCGTCGTCGCCGTCTCTGCGTCATGCCGCGGGACCGTCCCCCTCCTCGTCAGCCGCGGCAGGTCCGCTCGCCGACGCACACCACCTCAACGACAACCCCTCCTCCTCCTCCTCCTCCCCGAGCCTCCTCCGCCGCTCTACCTCGTACCGCTCCTCCCCCGCCGCCGCCGCCGCAGGCCCGAGCGGCAGCGCCGCACCCGGCACGCCCCCCGTCGACGGGTCGGCGTCTCTCCGGCGCTCTCACAGCCGCAGGGGCGCGAGCGTGAGCTACACGGGGCGGTCGTCGCTCGACGGCCTGGCCCTCACTGGCATGGGCGGCGGTGGCAGCCCGGCGCAGCACGCCTCGGCGGTCGAGGGCGCACCACACAGAGCGGACGCCACGCCGTCTCGTAGTCGGGGCTCGACGCTCTCGGACGTGCGCGAGACGGGTGCGACGCAAGAGGGCGGCGCACCCGAACCGGACTCGGGCGCTGCGGGGGCGCCGGCTGCGGCTGCTATGGGCGAGCCCGCGACGCAGCCGCCGACACTCGTCGAGCAGAACGCCGACCTGCTGAGCTTCATCGCGAAAAAGGAGCGCAAGTGCCTTGACCTGCGAGAAGGTGCGCCCTCCTCCCCTCTCCTCTGCAGCGAGGCTGTCGTACATTGAGGATTGCCGCAAGCTCACACGCACACTCTGTCCCCGCACAGAGCTCAAGCGACACGAGTCGGAGCTCGCGCAGCTCAAGAAGAAGTGGGAGTCGATCGTCGCCCGCTCGCTGCAGCAGCAGCACGTCCAGGCGCGCTCGCCCAATCCGAACGCCTCGTCGTCTCACGGCCACCCGCGCAACCCGTCCGTCTCATCGACCGTCTCCTCCGCATCACCCAACACGTCCCCGACCCCGCGGTCGCACCGCGCGCTGCACTCGACGCACTCGCTCGACCTGTCCCTCCTGAGCTCGACCTTTGACGGGACGGACCTCTCCCCCGGGCACGCGGCGCCCGCCCCAGGCGCGGTGGGGACGACCGACTCGCCGATCGAGATCCCCGAGAGCGTCAAGGCCGCGGGGACGTGGCTCGGGGATGCGCTCGGCCGCGTGCTCGAGGTCGCGGTGGGGATGCCGCCGCCGACGTCCGAGGCGGGGGAGGTCGGCGGGCACGCGCACGCGCAGGTGCAGGGGCTTGGCATTGTTGAGGAGGAGGACGAGGAGGACGAGGCGGCGGGGGGAGAGGGCGCCGAGAGGGCGAGGAGGAGGGAGAGCAAGGTCAGCTCGGTCGAGACGGACGGGGTGGCCTCGACGGTGGGCGCGCCGCTGTCTACGGCGCCGAGCTCGCTCGCGAGCAGCGACGACGTCGGCTCGTCTCGTCTCGGCGTCGCAGACCCGGCGTCACCCGCTCGGCAGCGCTCGCCCATGCGCACAAAGCCGACCCCGCCCAGGTCGACTTCGCCACAGACGACCCGGCAGCACCTCTTCACGCCCCCCTCCAACGGCCCCTCCACGAACCCTCACTCGACTCCTCCCTCGTCCTCTCTCTCGCACTCACGCTCCCGCTCGACCGCCCTCGATGCCCTCTCCGGCGGGTGGTCCTCGCTCAACCGCAAGTGGACGCAGCTGAGCGAGTCTGACACGCTCAAGAACACGCGCAGGGCGACGCTCGGCCTCGTGGACACGTTTGAGCAGGGCCTGGCGCAGGCGCTGGGCCCGCTCGAGCCGCCGCAGATGTCGCCCCCGCTCCATGGGCACGGACATGCGCAACTCCCGCGAGCATCGCCGAGCTCGACCGCTGCGCAGGCGCAGCGTGACGGGCAGGAGCAGGCCTCCCACCCCCTGTCGGGCTCCTCCTCCTCCTCGACACCGCACGCCCCGCCGTCCTCCGCCACCACCACCGCCCGCGACCCCGCCCCCCTCCCCGGCGCACTCGTCCCCGGTCAGGGCCTCTCCAGCGTCTTTGCGAGCTTCAGCCGCGGCCCTGCGCTCGGGGACGTGCGCGAGTCGGAGAGGAAGGCCGACGGCGAGGGCAGGGGCGGGGCCGGTGGCGGGGCAGAGCACGCGCATCAGGCGCAGGCGCAGGCGGGGTGGGACTGGAGTGCGTTCCTGCCCGGTTCGGCGTCGAGCGAGGAGCTTGCGCGGCGCGGGACCGCGGATGAGCAGCAGGCGCGGGAGGGGAAAGGCAAGCTGAGGGCGTCGGCGTCTTCTTCTGGAGGGATGTCGGACGGGCTGGACGAGTGGCCCGGGTGGTGAGAGGGCGGTTCGTGCACACGTTGTCCCTCGTCTGTCTGTCGTTCCCTGTCTCCCCGTCCAACGCATTCGCTCATTGTCGCTCGTTTTGTGTCTCGCGTTGCCGTCTCGACGTGCCCTCTTGCATCACACCCTCGTTTTCTTCGCTCTGCAGCACGAGGCGAGTCATGTGCACTATGAGCGAGAAGAAGCAGCGCTTGACCGGAACCACACTTGCGACGGCTGCAGACGTCAACGTGCTACCGCGCCGCCGAGGAGCGGCTCGAGGCTCTACCGTTGTCGCTTTCCTCGCTCTGGCTCGTCTGGCTTAGCACATCCTCACTCGCTCAGAGGCACCCACAATCACGTACGGAGCCGC